GACATCTGTAATTTCACATTTGGGAAAACCCAGACCTTTAAACAGAAGTGCTATTTCAATTTTCTCACTCCCATTCTTCTTTAACCTCAGACTGAGGGAGGAATAAACCCTCTTTGATTTGTAGACTGAATTCTTTAAAGAGCCAGCTTGTCCTTTTTCAAATTTATTTTTTCTTTTTGCTCGGGGCAGAAACCAGGGGCCCCAAATGGGAACACGGTACCTTGGTCAGATGGCTCAAAATACCAAAAGTTACCACAGGGACTACCATGCTACCTATCCATCTTTCTTGCTAATCCAAAAGTCAAATAAACCCAGGGAGCTTTTTTTTTTTTTCTTCTTCTAGAATTTCAGGCTCCCTGAGGACTAATTTCTCTGAAAGCTGCATTAAACTAATAGCACCATAAAAGGCCCATTGTGAGATGTAATTGGTTTGCAGGACTTTCCTATAAAAATAATAAAAGACTGCCAAAGGCAGTTTCCAAAGGTCAATTATCTGTGTTGCTTGAGTTGAATGGAGGTCAGTCCCAGAATTCTGTTTTATAGGCATATTAATCAAAACCGGGTGGCCCTACCCATCTGACCCCATCAGCTGTCAGAGAAGTCGCAGGCTCCACCTTATGCTGATCTCCAAAGAGATGCACCGCACAGGGCCCCTCTTTTCCCAGGAGGATACCCAGCCATCACCATGGTGAATGCCAAGCTGGAAGCTGAAGTTTTCAAGGCAGAATGAAAGGAAGAAAAGCTATACCTTGAGCACAGAAAAGGAAGGGAGGGACTCAGGCCCCCTTCCCCAAGGAGCTGGAGAAGTCGATACAAGTGTTGGTTATGTCTGACCTAAACCAACTTAGACTAGCTTAACCAAAAGGGATAAGTTTAGGTTGGCTAACATAACTGGGAATTTTAAGGATGGCTGGATCCAAGGGCTCAACCAATGTCAACTCATTGATGAGAGGATATTTGCACCCCTCTCTCCCTCTCTTTCTCCCAATCTCCCTCTCCCTCGCCTTAACCTCTCCCCTCCCTCTTTCTCTCTCTCTATATCTCTCTCTGCACTGCTGGCCCCTGCTCTCAGACAAGCTCTCTGCCACATGGCCGGCAAGAAGCCTTCAGGCTGCCCTTGCTGTCCATGTTCCCCATTGAGCTACCTCAAGCATAGCGAGATGCTTTCTTCTAGTGTTCCTGTATCAATTCCAGGAAAAGCTCTGATTAGCCATTTGGATCACATGTTCAATCCTTGTAACTAAGGGGTTGCAAGAACACGATTTGCTCAGGTTGAATCTTGTGTAGCTAGAAGGTCTGGAGAAAGAGGGCATACACACAGCATATTTAACAATTAACCATATCACATCTAGTAGGGGGAGAGGAGGTTCCCTCAAAGACAGGATGCTGGCAGATAAAATCCTGCCCACCTAAAAAAAGCTATCCAACTTCAAAATGCACTCTACTGGTTAACTTGTCTTCATTCCAGCTATTTCATTAATCTATCCATCTCTCCCTTCTTCTACCCACCCATCCATCCATCTGCCCATTTATCCATTCATTCATCCATCTATTCATCCATCTGAGACAGGAAGGAAGGGGACAGGGCACAGCCATTCAAGGAATAACACAGCAATTAACGCCTGAATGGTGGAAGATTCAACTCCCAGTAGGCCTTGAGGCTCAAGATGGTTGGAGATTTGACTTCTAGTAGAACTTGAGCTTCATTATACACCCATTGTAATATATTAGCATGGTGAATAACATGACCACAGGCGCCATGACAGCTCCAAGACTAACCATAAAAGGTCAAAGAGTGGGAAATGGCCAACTTCTGGGAATCCCAGCCCCTTCTCAAGGGTAGTTAGAATGGTCCTCCCACTTGTTAGCATATGAAGCTACCAAACCCATTAAAACTGTCAACACAGCGCCCCATGGGTGCCTCTTACTCCCTCATCTTTGGAGACAGCCCTCACTCTGTCTATGGAATGTGTAACTGCTATTACTCTAATTTGAGCACCCAACCCCCACACCTCATGGCCTTTCTCTTGTCTTTTGAAACAGCCTACACTCTATGCAGTATGTATTTCTCTAAATAAATCTACCTTTACTCAACTGTAGCTTGCTCTTGAATTCTTTCCTGCATGAAGCCAAGGACCATACTTGGTGGGGCACATCCAGGGACTCAACTGAGCCCTGGGAAATGGCCCTCCTCACACCCCACATCCGTTTTTCCTGCATCACATTCATCTATCCAGCCATCCATTCATCTATCCATGTATCTGGTAAAAGAGTTGGTTTTATAGGAATAAGTACTTCCCCTTCTTGCCCCTGCTCAAAATAAAATCTAAAAACAATTACTCTTCAGGACCTTAAGTTTCTAGAAGAATGAATTAGCCTCAAGCCCTAGAGGCCGCAAGTCTCAATAAGGAGGCATTAAAAAGTATGGAAGGTTATGCAACAAAATATTAACCATGATTATCTCTAAGTGGTATGTGTGGCTCCTTTTTTATATATCATGTTTTCTAATCTGTCTATAACAAAAAGGTACTGCTTGCATAATTTTAAAAAGGAGAAATTAATGCTAAAAACCTCTCAGTCTCATTACTCTGATTCTATATGCACCAAGCAACCCTTTGGGGACTTACATTGGTTTCCCAAGTCAACTTTTTGACTAAAGAAAGAACAAGGCTGACCATACTGTTGAAAGGTGATGGCTATGTTTTTAAATAAAAACGATGCTCAGCCATGCTGTCTATCAAGTCTTTTCTAAGTCTCGAACTGCTCACGAGGGACTGGCCCAATGGCTAGTTTCTTCTTAGCAAAACTTGAAGGCAACATCTAAAACCCTGGAGGATAAAAGTGCTTTTGTCTTCTCACAATAACCTTGCAGTGGCTGGCCACATTTGTAGCTGGCCACAGAGCCATTACTCATTAGCAGCTAAGTAAAAGTCAGTGCATTTTCTATTATCTACATGAGAAGGTGGTTTCTTGATGCAAGCAGTGATTGTCCACACTGAGCATGAAAGGGATGTGTCCTTCCTGGGAACAGCGGCAGAAACGTAGCAGCTGGGGTTGGGAGCAGCGTAAAAAGTCGTTTCTATGTTGGGAATAAAAGTGGAAATTATCAGACCTTTGAAATAGCTTAAACTTGCTTCTTAATGTTTCGAATAGGATCAAAGTGCCTTGGCATAGTACAGTACGTTTCATGGAGTCCTTTGTCACACAGGTATGGAAATACATGTATATCTTAGTCAAAAGTGTTTTAAACTTTTATGCCCAGGCTCATGTTGGAAAAGGTAGAATTGCTGATCAAATAAAGAATATAGTTTTTGAAGGGTGTTGGTGCTTCTCAGATATGAAACTGTTAAGTGATTGAACACCAAGCTTCATAATATTCACATGGACCCTGAATCTGATCTATTTCCCAAGGAAAACAGCTACCAATAGAAATAAATCTAAATTTCCTATTCCTCTCCTATGATTTATATGTATTATTTCAAGCAACACCTTTACCACAACCCTACACATTTTTGAAGGTAAGAAATCAAGGAATAAAACCAGTAAACGGAAGAACCAAAGTTTAACCCAAGTCTGTCTTGACTCCATCCCATACTTCCGGCCATGACTCCCCCGTGTCCTTCTCAGCAATGCCCCCACTGTGTCTGCACGTAGTGCGCACATCCGTAGGCATCACACGTATGAGAAGCTTCTGCGATGCTCAGGTGCCACATTTTCTGCATCAACTGCATATTAATATGCAGGCAACGGAAAGGAATGCTAAGTGAGAAAAAGTCAAACGAGAAAGGAAAATAGAAGGTAGAGTTAACTCCAAAAGAGTAAAATATCAATTTAATGTAAAGAACCCTTCCACTGCACAGAAAGTAGCAGCCGGGCAGTAGGTTCTGGATGAACCTGGCCATCCCGGGCTTAAATACAACCTCTTCGGAGGAAATTTCCTGAAGTGTCAGGTAGGCATAATTCTAAAATGTAACGCTAAACGTCAGCAGGGAAATAAACCCAGTGGTTATAAATCCCATAAGAAAACAGTAAAAACGTCTCAGACTAGGTAACAGCACGATCCACCAATGTTCCAGAAAGACAAACATAACCATCAGTTGCTGCCTCCTTTGAAAAAGAAGAGATCACAGACTGACTCTGGCTACTTCACGGAGTCCTTCCTGTTAGGGCTGGGAAAGTTACAGGGCCCCAGGGCCTGCTCTCGGACACCGCTTTCTGGGAGGGGTGCTGGCCAAAGCGGGTTCATTTCTTCTAATGCTCAGACCGGGGAGAGTCCACATCTTTTCTTTGGAGGTTTATAGAAAACACAACTGGCTTATTGAGAGTATGGCTTTTGTTGTTGCTGTTCTTTACAATGACAGGGGGATTTGGATACACACTTGGGTTTATGAAGTATAAATCCTGTTTAAATCTATAGACGTTAAAAAAGATGTGATGGTTGTTTGGAGAAGAAAGCCACACCTGTGTCCAATCATACCGAGCGGTGATCTTTGCTGTTGTGAGAAACTGATAAATCTCCAGGCTTTCAACAAGGGCGTGTCGAGAACAGGAAACTCATTTCAAATCACATCTCAGGTAGGCGTCTGAGCCAAAATAAGATAAAAGTCATTATTTTTTTTTCTATTAAGCCACCAAGCACAAGTGGAACCATTCTCTCCTTTTCTTATTTCGTCCTGAAATCTGGTAGGAACGAGAGCCAGGTTTCCTGTTCTAAATCTTCAGAGAACTGCACAAAACTGTTCTTTTCTTCCTTCCTTAGGAAGGAAGAGTCCACACACAACAAGGTGTGAACAAAGCTGTCATTTAACATGTTAATTAATACTGGGAGATATAATTAGGTGCTACAAGCATTCCTTTCTCATTGCAAGCATCGCTGATGCCAAGGAGATTAATGTCCCTATCACCGTTGGGGTAATAGCCCACCTGATGGATAGGTGTGCTCTACCTGTCTTGCTTTGGTAACATAACATCCCAAATTAATCTCTGAATGATTTCCCCAGGCCTCTTCATATATGCAAAGAGTTACAGAGGCCAAAGGCATCCCCAGGCAAAATCCTCAAATTTGTGAACGTAAACAAGCTTACACCAAACTACTCAACTTTCTGCAACAACATAAATGTGGGTGACACTAGTTAGGCGGCCAAAGTTGACCCTGCAACTCAGGGCAAAGCTGGAACAATCTCTGATGGTGACAAACCAGACAGCTCGCAGTGGAGGATTTAAGCACCTAAACTAAAAACCCCACTGCCTTCAGTCTACATATGACACCACAATAAGAAAGATTAAAACACCATCTTTAGAAGGCTATGTTCAGATGAGGTTATACAAATTACTTATACTACACTGGGCTTTCCTTTTATTTCAAGAAAGACAAGCTTGTTCAATTAGAAAACCCAGGCATGCAGTTTGCCTAGGAATAAGCATGCTGCTCCTTCACCTGAATCATTCCATCACTGCCCTCAACCTTTCTCCCCATCTAACACACAACACAAGCTGCTGGCGGTCCAGCTACTTCCTCCCATGGTCCATTTTCTCCCTTCATCTCTGTCCACTTCTCACCATTCCCTGTAGATTACATACTTGAGCCAGGTCACTGTAGTCTTTGCTTCCTATTTTTAAAAAAATTCAGAGCTTTAATATATCTTTCATGCATAATAAGTTATAAGGTATAATTACTTCTTTGAGTAAAATGACGATTCCGTCAAGTTTATTAATTCTTCAGGAAAACAGGGTATCATAATATTTGAGTTGGGAGTGCTTCTTCCAATGTGGCTGCTCTGAGCTTTCGCTCTGATAGCCAGATACACGATCCTCCCCACTCTGCTTCAACACTTCATGTGAAAACAAAGTCACCTTATCTAAGACAACCTGCTACACTGACAGTGCAAATATGTGTAGACCATTCTGCCTTATGTTTGCTGGAGGCTGTCTCCCATAACTTGAGGCACTGACACTGGTTCCACTCTCAGGATTTATAGGGGAAATTTCCCAGTTTTGGGATGTTGACAACCAAGCGAGAAAATGATTTTAAACATCATGTAGGTCCAATGAAACACATCTGCCAGCCAGATCCAAACCACAGAACACAAGTTGGAATGCACGCCTCTGAAACCTCTTCTTTGAACCATAGGTAGGATAATTCAGATGAGAATGGAAAACACTGAGATCCCTTTTTATTCCAATTGCCACACATACTGGCCTACAGAAATGGTCAAGAGTCTTGCTAGCAGCATATGTTTGCATTTACCTGGAGGTTTTCTTTTTAAAATCATTTCGACAAAACTAAATCCTCATGAAAGGCTGCCTGCGTGAATACCGGTTGGATGGCTGTTAGTTACTCAGATAGTGAGCCAACATCACGACTCATACATCCATATGTGGCCTTAGGAAATGCACTCTAACTCTCTGAGCCTCAATTTCCTCATCTGAAAACTGGAATAAAGAATATCTTCCTTGGTGGAACTTAATTACTACCATCCCTTCATGGGTTGAGGCTGCACTAGAATTAGTGACTCACTTCCAAAGAACAGAGTATGGAAAGGGAAAAATAGTAATTTCACAGAGGGGAAACCTGGCAAACACTACCTTTACCAAATGATAAAGGTGAACATCACCTGTGACATTATGTGGCTGTCACATACCTCTTGGCAGGAAGAGATTAGAAAGGTACCTCCCCTCTGAGGTGTTCTTTCCCCTCAAACCATAACTTCAATCTAATCATGAGAAAAGCATTAATTAATTTCATATTGAATGTATGTATGTTCATGTATAACTGAAAAATTGTGCTCTACACTGGAATTTGACACAACACTGTAAAATGACTATAACTCAATAAAAAAATTCATATTGGAGGCATATCTGCAAAACAGTGTTTCAAGGAGGAGGAAGTCGTTGGTTGGGTCAAATGTTGTTGAGCGATTGTGTAAGATCAAGACACGAAAGGCTCTACTGACTTGAGTGTTTCCAGAGGGGTGGCTGGAAACTGAGGCTCCACTGGAGAGGGTTGAAGAGCAGGTGGGACAAAGGATAGATGGCAGGTTCAAGAAGATCTTCTGGAAAAGAAAGAAAAGATACTGGGATATGAGTGGAAGGAGGATATGAAATCAAGGAAAATTGTTGTTGGGTCTTAATGGGCCATGCTAGTAAATACAAATTAATGAGAATGACCCTATAGAGCAGGACAGACCAATGGTGCAGGAGAGAGCTAATAAAACTTACCAAAATAGCAAGTTCTTGAGGAAGTGAGGACATGAGATTCAGAGCACAAGAGAGGCTGGACTTTTATAGAAGTGAGGACACTTCTCACCTCTTAATGGAAGGGAAGTGAAGACAGAGCAAGCTCCAAGGAGATTTCTAGATTTGTTGGTAGGGAGATTATGGCTTCTATGTTCTCAATCAAGCATGAAGCAAGCCACTAGTTAAAAGTCAGAAGGTGAGGGGTGAGGAAGGCTGGTAAAAAGGGAGCACACTCACACCAGGAGCCTTGCCAAGCCATTGCATCAGAAAGGAAGGGTCAAGGGAGCTGAACATGTTTGCAAGGAAACAATAGTAATTGTAGGCCATAAAATCTAAGCCACATAAGGAGGGAAAAGAAGAAAAGAGATGAATAGTGACAGAGTAGCAGAGTGTAAGTTTTGAAGGGCTCGATGATGTTGGAAAACTGTTCTTTGATTATTCTGCAGCATAGTATCTAGAAGAATAGGAAGAAGAATATTTAAAACCAAGATTTCAAGACTCTAAATAATTGGAATAATAAACAGTAAGCAGAATAACTGGATGATGACTTGAGGCGGAAGGGAGGAAAAGTTGTTGGAAGTGAGGACCTCAAGGAAGTGAGAACCTGGGACACTGCGCGGGTCTCATCCGCATAGTTGCTGACATCGCCAGGAGCAATGCGAGGAGCAGCAATGAAGAGGCGCACAATGAGCCACAGCTGAGGAGACGCACAAGGAGCGTGCCTACCAGGCAGGTAAGTAGATGAGTGAAACGCCAAGTGCTGGTGGGTGATAAGCAGGATGGCCCAACTTCACGCACACTAACATTGCGAAGGAGAAAAGAATAGGAATTACAGTGGAAATGCCGAGCAAGGATGACACCAACTCCACACCCTCAGCCTGAAGAGCAAGGAGTGTGTGGGATTTAAGAAGGAAACGGTCTCCACTCAAGAGAGAGACAAGGAAGTGAGCCAAGTCTCTCTTAGGGCAAGGAGAGGAGGGAGGGGACCTGCATTCAGAATAAAAGGTTGAGGATGTAGGATGTTTGCTGATCATAGGTCAGAGTTCAGAGGGCACAATGAGGGCAAGGAGGGGTGGGGTTTGGGTAATAGGAGCATGGGACAGCCTGGAGCTTGTGCTTCCATCAGAGACTGGGGACAACCACCATGTCATGAGCAGGGGCAGGATGGGGTTGGTCAGAGGCTAATCAGTTTGAGTCTTGCCCTGAAAGTCAACTCCATGACCCAGGAGGCTGCTCCTCTCTCACTAGGGAGGTCGTGTGGGCCTGGAGAGAGGCTTCCCTTAAGGAGGAGATATTGTGTGTAAAGCAGCCATTCTCAAGCCTGGCTGCGCATCAGAACCACAGGGGAGCTTTAAACGATCCTGACACTGGGGCCAATAAAATCAGTGTCTCTGGGGGAGGGACCAGACATCGGTGTTTTTTAAATTCCCCAAGTGATTCCTATGTGCAACTAGGTTTAAGAATGTGGGTTCCTCGCTCAAAGATGCAGGGGTGTGGCCTGAGCCTTAGGGTTTTTAAAAGCCTTTGTGATGGTGGCTGTAACTGTAACTGTTACACTTAGGAATTTCCCTTGCATCATCTCAATGGGAAGGAAGAAAAGGAGGAAAAGGAATTGTCTTCATTTAGATAAAAGACAATTTCTTCGGAATTAGAGGGAAAAGTTCCTGGCATTCTGTCTCAGATTAAGTGGAAGAAAGACTAATCACTCATGGGAGAGAAACAGAATGGACACAATATACTTTAATAGCCATTCAATCTTCTAACACTTATTTAAAGAGCAAAATAGAAGGCTTCACAATCCAAAGAGAACTCTGGACGATATCCATGCAGCCAACAGTTAAAGATTTTTCACGAAGTTTATTACCCATCCAAGTGAGCACTGGAACAATATTTTTAAATGTTCCAAGCTACTATTAGTAGCAAGAAAATGATTTTTACATAACAATAATTAAAGCTGACACTGATCAAGCACTTACTATGTGCCAGGCACTGTACAAACATCACAAGTGGTCGGTCTCCTGTAGTCCTCACAACAGTTCTCTGAGATGGGTACTATTATTATCCCGACTTTACAAGTGAGAGTCCAAAGTCTAGAGAGCCTACTTAACTAGCTGAGATCAAACAGCTGTAATTGGAAGGGGATGGATTCAAATTAAAAGTCCATCTGGTCCCCAAACCACTATGCCATCCTGCCTACTTACAAGACTCCAAAAGACATGAAAGGGAATAGAATTGTGGGCAAAGGTGGAGGAATCAGCCTTAGAGAAAAGAAGAGATATGTTCTCTGGCTTGATAGAATGAAAGAGAAGGGACAGCTGGGAAAATGTGAAGGAACTTGAAAATGAAGAGGAAAAAACTCAAAAATTCTAAAATTTACAAGGACACCTTTACATTTCCTAAAGTGCTTAGCACAATATATATATATATATATGGTAGAAACTCAAACATATTATTGACTGAATATTTTCTCAATGGTCATTATATCATTAAACAAGAAATCTTAATGGAAATAGTTGTTTTGTCAAAGGGCTCAGGTTCTGAAAACTTTTTGTTCATTTTTAAAATTCTTATATTTATTATAATCATATCATTGGTACAAATATCTTAGAAATATAAATATTAGAAGGGAGGAAAGAAAGAAAGGGAGAAAGGAGAGCAGGAGGGAGGGAGGGAAGGAAACATTCTTTCAGTAAAAAGCCAGTTAATAAATAGAGAAGGAATGATAAAATAAGAAAATCACCATTTGTCAAAATATTATAATTGCTGTTGATTCAGG